TGATTATTTTGTACCAACACAGTGCATTACAGGTTACATGATCATATAGGTACCCTCTTGGCACGATACGAGTTAAATTTCTCTGTGAATTTCTGGTAACTTCATACCAGAGAAATTTCTGCAGACAATTTTCTTTGTGTGGATTATGTTGACAATCACAACTTAGCATGCATTATCAATATATATATATATATATATATATTTAACCATTTTGTATTAGATCAATTTTATCACGTAAAATAATGAACAAATATATATATATATATACATATATGTGAAACATCATCATTCCTTCAATGTATGAAAAAACAAATTGAAGGATTATTCATAATTACATTGTGTACATTGTCTTCCTGTCACTAGTGTGCTTTCATTATTATACTTTTGGTTCTTTTTTTGGTGGTATTTGAATTGGTTCTGTCCATGATCGGCCAACTTCGGTCACAAATCTCTCTATGATTTCTGCCCTAATCAACCTTATGTTTTGTGTCAATAATTTCGAGCTGATAGGTTCATGGTTGTTATATTGTCTCATTATGTAGCATACAAAGAGGCCACAATCCACACCGCATAGAAATTATAGGTATATAGTTAGTTTTAAGAAACATTCAAATTAGATTATCTTATTTATAGATGTTGTATGAAACTTACGAATCACTGTCTTGTTGTGGAGCATTGTTGACATATTCAAAGTCATAATTTGTGTTTTGTGAGTCTATCAATTTGAAAGAGGGTTGTGATTGTGCCTCTCTTTCAAGGCAAGCTTTCAAAAGTCTCCACATAATCTTGCTGCAAAAAAATAATTTTTAAATAACAGAGAAATTTACATACAAATCAATGGGATTCTATGAAAATTATCATCATGGATTAGAGAAATTTGCACTCGTTACCAATTGTTTTGCAACTTTGATATATTTGTCTTGTGCATCATTTCTCCTTGGCCTTAGTGAGTTGTAGAACCTCCATAAATTGTCTTGTTTGTCCAAGACTAGCAAGGTCTAGTGATTTTCATCTGTTGACTTCTCATTGCCCCCGGTATTTATTGAGAAATGAAGGAACCTGTAGTTCCTCCATGCTATTTCAAGATGCTTGTCAAATAATGAGACTCGGAAAGTTTGATTTTCCGTCATCTTGATGAAGTTCTATGGTTAGAGAAAATCCAAAAATGATTATGAGAAAGTTGAAATGACAGGAATTTAAGAAATATATACACAGAGAAATTTTAAATGCACACAACTAGCCAGAGAAAATTAGACTAGTGACATAACTGGCTTCAAGAAGTATCTTAACAAGAGAAAGTAACAAGTAAATTCCAAAGAAAATCAAATAAAAGAGTAGTAACATACTAAGCTCATGTATGTAAAAAAAAATGAAGTTGGTTGTTGTCCTTTTCTCATTTGATCAGCAAATAGGATCTCTCCATAGCCATCAATGACATGAAAAATATCATTTATAATTGTAACATTGTGTCACAACCCAAACTCGCCCCTATAGGTTTAGCGTCATAACCGGCTAACAATCCGTGATTGTCGCAGACCTGTTTAACAATAATGACAATAATACAATACAAAGGGGCTGGCGGAAGCTAGTCAATAATAACATACATCGTCCAATGAGCTGTGAGGACCTGAATGGAAATAAACTTTCATATACATAGTTTTATCCACAAACACTTAAGTCTATAAAACACATATATGCAAGACAAAACACAAGTCAGGAAATTAAATCCCATTATCAAAAATAGTATTAACAAAAGTTATAAAACCTTCTTTCACTTAGCAATATCAAAATGGTGAATTTGAACTACCCAAAAAGCCTTGACACATGTTGGTTCGGAACCTCGCGATGAGGCACAATAGCTGGTTTGACAAAACAAGGGTTCGAATAGATGCCTCTAGCTTTGATCCGGTGCTCGATCACCTACATATATATAGTAAACAATGAGCTAGAGCCCAATGAATAACAGCTGTGTAAAGAGGTTAAGAATGATATCCTTACAATATTTGAAACAATCGATTATCAATAGAACATTTTAAATCAATATCTTTTTGTCAATCAATCGTTCAATTCAATCAATCATATTCGTATCGGTCATATGTGGTACATCCAATAGCAACAATTCAATAGGTCTTAAAGACCGAACAATCAATTGATGGCCATCAAACAATAGACAATAGTTCTAAGAATTAGAACTGACAGAGATCTCTGTAACAATAGCGATATCAATAAAAATAACAATAACAATACGCTATGGATGCCACGAATACAATTCAAAAGAGGATCATCATTCAATCGATAAAAAGTAACCATTTAGAAACAATATAATTTATCATTCAGAAAATAAATACAATTTGAACATATCTTTACAACGTTGCTACTCACAGTGGGCTCCTCAGTACACGTACTAATGGTTCGGCATCCGACCTAAACAAATAAAGTCAAGCACAACACAATTACAATTACACTCTACAATCTATTTAATTCGGTTACTTGTTTGTCTTTCGGTTTCTCTCATTTAATTCTAATTTTTCATTCGGTTATTCCTATTTATTTTTCTTCCATTCCTTTTAAATATGGATGACTAGTATTAGGAATAAATTAAATTATTAACCTTCAATTAAAATATGTTTAGCTATGTATTAACCAAACTAATTAAATATAAATAAATAATCTAATCATATACCAACCCTTATTACGTTCACTAATTACACAATCAAACCTAAATTAGGCTCATACACATTAAATTATAATTATTCAGTCATGTTTCTAACTATCAAATTAAACCCATTCTTCCATTTTTGAAACTCAATTTCATGAAACATCCATTTTCTTGAACCCAAGCTCTAATTCATGCTTAATCTCTCCTTAAACTCCATGAATCATGTTTGAAAATAAGTTTAGAATCATTGTTCTCTTGAAAATATGTCATGCATGTAAGGATTATGAGTTAAATTGATCAATTCTTCAATTTTTTTAACATGCATGCCCTAAGCTCTCAATTGCATGAGCAAATCTCCTATTTAAGGACAAATTCAATTCATTTAAACTTATACTTTGGAAGATGATGTGTAATACAGCTTCAATATCAAGAATTTGGAATAATTTCTTACCTTAATTGATGCTACAAGACCAAAATTTCAGCTTTCCTTAAGGTTCTTCTTCTTCTTCTTCTTCTTCTTCTTCTTCTTTTCCAATTTCTCTTCTATGAGCTCAACTCATTCTTCCTCTCATTCTCTCTCTACGTGGGTCTGTTAGTATGTGAAAAAGATGACTAACTTAGGCAACCAAGCACTCTCTCTCTTAGTCTATATTTATGAGATGAGTAGAAATATAATTTATTATTTAGTTTTTCAATTAGTTTGTTAAATTGAGGTTCCAATTAAATTAAATAAAAATAAATAAATATTAAAAAAAAACACTCATTTCTACCCAAATAAATTAATCCTCTACATTAAATAATCTCAATTATACTAATGTAAATTAGGTTCTAATTCCTATACACTTGTTGTTTTCTAACTTGTTAAAATTAGCGAATCAGACATGTTTAATTTCTATTCTCACCTATCTATTCAATCTAGTAAGTCAATAATTATCAAGATAATCAATAACAGTTAAGCACAAAAGCACTCAATTAACAATAAACATATAATTAATTAATTTAATTAATTTTAACCGAGGAGGTGATTGTCACATTCTCTTCCCCTTAGGACGTTTGGTCCTTCAAATTTATTTACTTTCCTCCGAGAAGAATATTGGATCAAGTGGGAAGAGGTCCGGATATCTTCTCTTCGTATTATCTTCTCTTTCTCAAGTTGCATAGATACCTCAATGATTTTGCCAATCCACTTTCACTAACGGAATTTATTTGTTTCTCAACTTCTTGATCCGCCAGTTTACAATCTGAATGGGTCGTTCTTCATAAGTATAGTCATCACTCAACACCACGTGGGTAGGCTCAATAACATGAAAAGGATCCCAGAGATAATCCCGCGACATCGAAACATAAAAAACATTATGCATATGTTCTATTTCGAGAAGGAGAGCTACTTGATATGGCACTGGATTAATCTTTTCAATAATTTCATACGGCCCAACATACCTTGGTGCCAACTTGCCCTTGGTTCCAAAGCGAGTCTGTCCTTTCAGTGGTGTCACCTTAATAAAAACATGATCGCCCACTTCATATTCCCTGTCTCGCCTTCAGACATCTGCGTAGCTTTTCTGTCAACTTTGTGCAGTTTTCAGTCTTTATTGAATTAACTCCACATTTTCTGTCATTTCATGCACAATTTCAGGCCTAAGTAAAGGCCCATCTCCAACTTCTACCCAACAAATAGGAGACTGACATTTCCTGCCATATAAAGCCTCAAAAGTGCCAATGCTTGAATGGAAGCTGTTGTTGTAGGCAAATGAGTTACCCAATTTCCTTGAAAATCAAGTACACACATACGCAACATGTCCTCCGGAGTTTGGATTGTTCTTTTTGAGTGGCCATTGGCTTGTGGATGATAAGCACTACTCAATCTCCGTTTGGTTCCCAATGCTTTTTCCAGACTTTGCCAAAATCTTGATGTGAACTTTGAGTCCATATCAAAAACAATTGACACAGGCACCTCATACAATCTAACAATCTCATTAATGTAAATTGTAGCCAACTTGTCCGCATTATATATTGTTTTGACAAGTAAGAAATGAGTAGATTTCGTCAAACGGTCAACAATAACCCAAATTGAATCCATACCTCTATTGGAGCGAGGTAGTCCAACAATGAAATCCATAGTGATGTGTTTCCATTTCTACTTCAGTATTGGCAGTGGTTGGAGTAATCTCGCGGGTCGTTGATGCTCGACTTTGACTTGTTGGCAATGTAACCATTTTGACACAAACTCAGCAATTTCCTTCTTTATTCCCAGCCACCAAAAATTTAACTTCAAGTCTTGATACATTTTTGTATTCCTCGGATGGATAGAAAGTTTTGAACTGTGGGCTTCTTGCAAAACTCACTTTTTCAATTCGGGATCAATTGGTACACACAACCTTCCTTGAAATTTCAACACATCATTTTCAAATCTAAAATCTAGCCTCGGTTTGGATTCCCGTTCGTTAATAATCTTTTTTAGAAATTCATCTTCTTGTTGTTTCTCTTTGATTTCCATAATCAGTGTCGGTTGGGCGAAAATAGCAGCTAAAGTCCCGCCTTGCTCCTGCAATACAACTTTAACTTTAAACTTCTCAAGATCAAGTAGTAATGCTTGTTGCCCGGTAAGGAAACAAGCTAAGTTCCCAATTGACTTCCGGCTAAGTGCATCGGCAATGGTATTGGCTTTCCGCTGTCTCATATTCAATTCTTTCTGAGTAAATAAGTACTTTAAGCTCTTGTGATCCGTATACACTTCACATGTTACCCCATACAAGTAGTGATGCCAAATCTTTAATGCAAACACCAAAGCGGCTAGTTCCAAATCATAAGTCAGGTAATTCTTTTCTTGTGGCCTCAGTTGTCGGGAAGCGTATGCTATCACTTTGCATTCTACATCAATACACACCCCAAACCCTTATAAGAAGCATCACTAAAAATAGTAAATCCATCCGTACCTGAGGGTAAAGTGAGAATCGGTGCAGTCACGAGTCGGGTCTTCAATTCTTGAAAAGCTGACTCCCTCTGATTAGTCCATTCGAATGGTACCCCATTCTGTGTCAACTGAGTCAAAGACAAAGCAATTTTGGAGAAATCTTTGACAAATCTTCAGTAGTACCCGGCCAAACCCAAGAAACTCCGGACTTCAGTAACACTGATAGGTCTAGGCCAATTAACAATTGCCTCAATTTTCTGTGGGTCCACCGAAATGCTATCTTTATTAATTACATGCCCCAAAAACGTAACACTATCAAGCTAGAATTCTCACTTTGTCAGTTTTGCATATAATTTCTTCTCTCTCAAGGTTTGCAAAGCAATTCTCAAGTGATGTTCATGTTCCTCTTTACTTTTGGAATAAATCAAGATGTCATCTATAAAAACACTCACAAATTCATCGAGGAATGGCTTGAAAATTCTGTTCATGAGATTCAAAAAAGGAACAGACACATTAGTAACTCCCAAAGGTATAACAAGAAATTCATAATGTTTGTACCTTGTTCGAAAGGCAGTATTTTCTACGTCTTCGACTTTGACTTTCAATTGGTGGTATCCCGATCTAAGATCAATCTTGGAAAATACTGGGGCACCTTGCAACTGATCAAATAAGTCATCAATGCGAGGCAACGGATACTTGTTTTTCACTGTTACCTTGTTCAGTTCACGATAATCAATGCAAAGCCTCAATGAACCATCTTTCTTTTTCACAAATAAGACTGGAGCGCCCCTTGGTGGTATACTAGGCCTGATAAATTTTTTGTCCATCAACTCTTGTAACTGGATTTTTAACTCTTTCAATTCAGTAGGTGTCATTCGGTACGGAGGTTTGGAAATTGGCTGTGTACTCGGTATCACCTCAATAGTGAACTCAATCTCCCTATCAATCAAATCCCCTGGCAAATCATCTGGAAAAACATCTGGGAATTCTATGACTATAGGAATACTGTCCACTTTAGCTTTATTATCAATAGGCACAGTCAATACACAACACAAATACCTTTTACACCATTTTTTAATCAATTTGCATGCTTTCATAGATGAAATCAAATATGGAGGAGGTACGACACCAACTTCGGTAAATATAAATTCAGGCAACCCAGGTGGACAAAAAATAACTTATTTTTGTTACACAATCAATGGAGGCATGATATTTTGTTAACCAATCCATCCCCAAAATTACATCAAAGTGATCAAGATTTAGAGGCAACAAATCCACATACAAAATCATATCCCCAATAACAATATCACATGCAGGATACATAAAAGCATAAGTCATAGACCCTCCAGTAGGTGAAAATACAGCTAATAAATAGTTCATAAGTTCCAGTGGTCTATTTAATTTTCTTTAAAAAACATGCGAGACAAATGAGTGTGTAGACCCCGAATCAATCAAAATATAAGCATTTTGTGCACAAATTGGAAGTGTACCTAATACTACAACTTCAGTATTCTGCACATCTCCTGGTACTAGAGCAAATACCCGACCTTGTCTCAATGTTTCTTTCCCATAAGTAACTTTAGCATTCGGTTCTGGTGTAGACACTGAAGCAATTGCACTTGTTGTGGGTCTAGTAAGGTTTTGAGATGCAAGTGGACAGTCTCTAACTATGTGGCCCACCTTGCCGTATTTATAACATGCCTGGAGATTTTATAACAAACCCCTTTATGTCTTTTGCCACATTCTGGACAATGCGATATAGAATTGTTCCCTTGACTGGAATTGCTCGTAGACCCTGTATTTTGCTTTTTATTCAGTGAGTTGTTTCGACCCTTTTTTTCAAATTAAATCCTTGTCTTTTACCCCTCCATTCAGTTACCGGTGTCTTAGCTTGTTTCAAAGCTACAATATTTGCCTCAGCCATGATAGCTCGGTCAAGAACATCCACATATTTAATTAATTTGAGAACATTGATCCGGTCAAGTATTTCTACATTCAGTCCACCTTCAAATTTTCTAGTTTTTTTATAATCCGTATCTACCATGTGTGGTGCGTAATGTGCAAGCTCAGTAAATTTTGCATCATATTCGGCCACGGACATAGTACCCTGCTTTAATTTCTCAAATTCGGATACTTTGCGGTCACGGACACATTGAGGAAAGTATTTATCATAGAATGCTTCCTTGAATTGAGCCCAAATCATAGTATTATTACTTTCACGCACAAGCATCCACCATCGCCTTGCCTTCTCTTGTAAAGTAAAAGTAGCCAACAACATTTTCTGTGCCTCTGAACATGGAAACACTTCAAACAGCTTTTCAATTTCTAGGATCCATGCCTCAGCTTTCAGTGGTTCTAGTCCTCCCTAGAATGTCGGTGGCTTCATTTTGTTAAACTTTTGTGTTAAAGCAATAACATCATCATTGGCATTTGGTTCAAGTTGCACTAGTGGCGATAGAGGAGGTGGAAGCTGTTGATTCTGTTGTTGTTGTCTTAAAGCTTCAGTCAATAGTTCAACAATCCTTTCCAATCTTGCAATTCTTATTTCTGATGATTCAGTTTCATCTGCACTTTTTGCATTCTCCATTGCACTATATAAAACATAATAATAATAAACCTAGGAAAGATGGTTTTCATATTCATGTTACACATAGACATATTATTCATGCTTATGCAATGCCCTAATATATTTTCTAGGACGTCCTATAGCTCATTTGGACAAGTGTGTGCAGTATAACTCATGCTTTGATACCACTCTGTCACGACCCAAACTCGCCCCTATAGGTTTAACGTCGTAACCAGCCAGTAATCCATGATTACCGAAGGCCTGTTTAATAATAATGACAATAATACAATATAAAGGGGTTGGTGAAAGCCAGTTAATAATAACAGACATCATCCAATGAGCTGTGAGGACCTAAATGGAAATAAACTTTCATATACATAGTTTTATCCACAAACACTTAAGTCCATAAAACACATATATGCAAGACAAAACACAAGTTAGGGAATTAATCCCATTATCAAAAATAGTATTAACAAAAGTTATAAAACCTTTTTTCACTTAGCAATATCAAAATGGTGAATTTGAAGTACCCAAAAAGCCTTGACACATGTTGGTTCGAAACCTTGCGATGAGACACAATAGCTGGTTTGACAAAACAAGGGTTCGAGTCGATGTCTCTAGCTTTGATCCGGTGCTCGATCACCTACAGATATATAGTAAACAGTGAGCTAGAGCCCAGTGAATAACAACTGTGTAAAGAGGTTAAGAATGATATCCTTACAATATTTGAAACAATCGATTATCAATAGAACATTTTAAATCAATATCTTTTTGTCAATCAATCGTTCAATTCAATCAATCATATTCGTATCGGTCATATGTGGCATATCCAATAGTAACAATTCAATAGGTCTTAAAGACCAAACAATCAATAGATGGCCATCAAACAATAGACAATAGTTCCAAGAATTTGAACTGACAGAGATCTCTATAACAATAGCGATATCAATAAAAATAACAATAACAATACGCTATGGATGCCACAAATACAATTCAAAAAAGGATCATCATTCAATCGATAAAAAGTAACCATTTAGAAACAATATAATTTATCATTCAGAAAATAAATACAATTTGAACATATCTTTACAACATTGTTACTCACAGTGGGCTCCTCGGTACACGTACTAATGGTTCGGCGTCCGACCTAAACAAATAAAGTCAAGCACAACACAATTACAATTACACTCTACAATCTATTTAATTCGGTTACTTGTTTGCCTTTCGGTTTCTCTCATTTGATTCTAATTTTTCATTCGGTTATTCCTATTTATTTTTCTTCCATTCCTTTTAAATATGGATGACTAGTATTAGGAATAAATTCGATTATTAACCTCCAATTAAAATATGTTTAGCTATGTATTAACCAAACTAATTAAATATAAATAAATAATCTAATCATATACCAACCCTTATTACGTTCACTAATTACACAATCAAACCTAAATTAGGCTCATACACATTAAATTATAATTATTCAGTCATGTTTAAATTACTGAATCTGAAACTCATAAATATGTATATTTTGCAATTTCAACTCCATTTTCAAGCAAATCAAGGCCCAAATAATTAATTTTCACATTTATTTCCATAATCTTAGGCCTAACTCAATTTCAATTGAATTTAATTAATTCTTAATTAAGGCTTAATTTGACTACATCTAATTTTATGAACCTAAATCCAAATTTTAATTGAATTCTTATAAGGCTCTAAATATCAAATTAAACCCATTCTTCCATTTTGAAACTCAATTTCATGAAACATCCATTTTCTTGAACCCAAGCTCTAATTCATGCTTAATCTCTCCTTAAACTCCATGAATCATGTTTGAAAATAAGTTTAGAATCATTTTTCTCTTGAAAATATGTCATGCATGTAAGGATTATGAGTTAAATTGATCAATTCTTTAATTTTTTTAACATGCATGCCCTAAGCTCTCAATTGCATGAGCAAATCTCCTATTTAAGGACAAATTCAATTCATTTAAACTTATACTTTGGAAGATGATGTGTAATACAGCTTCAATATCAAGAATTTGGAATAATTTCTTACCTTAATTGATGCTACAAGACCAAAATTTCAGCTTTCCTTAAGGTTCTTCTTCTTCTTTTCCAATTTCTCTTCTATGAGCTCAACTCATTCTTCCTCTCATTCTCTCTCTACGTGGGTCTGTTAGTATGTGAAAAAGATGACTAACTTAGGCAACCAAGCACTCTCTCTTAGTCTATATTTATGAGATGAGTAGAAATATAATTTATTATTTAGTTTTTCAATTAGTTTGTTAAATTGAGGTTCCAATTAAATTAAATAAAAATAAATAAATATTAAAAAAAAACACTCATTTCTACCCAAATAAATTAATCCTCTACATTAAATAATCTCAATTATACTAATGTAAATTAGGTTCTAATTCCTATACACTTGTTGTTTTCTAACTTGTTAAAATTAGCGAATCACACATGTTTAATTTAAATTCTCGCCTATCTATTCAAACAAGCAATCAAGCAAGTTAATAATCAAGCAATCAAGACAATCAATAACAGTTAAGCACATACGCACTCAGTTAACAATAAACATATAATTAATTAATTAAATTAATTTTAACTGAGGAGGTGGTTGTCACACATTGGTTTATAAAGGCTGATAGAACATTGCAGAGAAATTTTGATGAAAGACTTACATTGTTGTCAAGTTCTTTTTCCTTTATTAGGTTTCCAATATCTTCAAAGGTAATGAGATTGAACTCACTTGTCCAGATTAAAGCCCTATAAGATGACAAAGAAGGGATTTAATAGTTGTTAATGCAATATAAGTTCATAAATTGTTGTTTGCTATCTTCTATTTTATTTTTTGTACTTACTCGAGTCCAGACACATTTGATATGTGCTACAAGATGTCTTTTACATGTTCTTTTACCAATTTTGAAACCGGTAGAGTTTGTGAAAAAACCTAAGATTTTCTGATGCTTGTTGGTTGAGGCAAGACGTACTTATCGACATCAAGTACTTCTTTGTGTTTGGTGGTTTGCTCTGTTTGCTTTGCAGCTTGCTTTGAACTTCTAGTCACCTACGCAACTTTGGGATATTGAAATTCTGGATCTTGCTGCTTTTCTTTCCTTTCTTTTGCCTTTAAATTCTTTATCATTGATATAGGATCTTTTTTCACTGTAGACAGTGAAAATATCAGTAAAAGTTAAATTTCTCTAAAGCAGCAGATGATATTTCAATATGTAAATTTATTTGATTCAATACTTTCTAGTTACCATAGACTTTTGTCTTTTGTTTTGGTTGTTTTTTGTGTGGCACTTGTTCTTGTTGGGTTGTTAGTTATTGTTCCACTTCTATTCCAACTATACACAGTGAAAATTAAACAAGCCCCCAAAATCAAATAAGCAAATAGACATAGAAAATCAAATAAGCAGCATAAATTAATAGAAATAAACAGCAGAAACTAATGTGGTTAGAGAAATTTAACTTCCAGAAAAAATTACCATTGACAGAGAAAATTGTAATAAATAGAAATTTCTTTGAGTTATGTTGACACAAGGACATAACTTTTTGTGGCTCAAGATTTTCATTGACCTTGGGGTTGAACTTGTGTTGGTGTCTGGTAAGGTTGTGTTGCTAGTTGGATGGATAGTTCTTGAATTTGTTCATGCAATCTAGCATTTTCAGTTTCAAGCTCTGAAATTGAATACCTCAACTATTGAATTGTTTTTGTATCATCTTGTTATTGAACCTCCAACATCCTTAGTTTTATTTTTTTTTGTGCTGTCTCTTTCGTGAAGTTCTGAGTTATGTGATGTCAAGGTTCTTATTGCAATGTCCTTTTCTGCAAGTAATTCATTCCAATTTCTCTCTTCTTCTATTTTGGATTTAGAAAGTGCTTTTAGTCTTTGATGTAGATCAGTAATTTGAGCAACCTTTGATTCCTCAGATTCTTGAGGCTGATGCATTGTTGAGCCACAAATGCTATCATGATGTTGGTCCATCAGCTCATTATGTTCTTCTTCATCATTTTTCTCATTATTTTATTCTTCCTCTTTAGATTCAGTGCCTTCATTTTCTTCTTCATTGTCTTCTTCTTTCTGTTCATTTTCTTCTTTGTCTTCTACTTCTACTTCATCACTTTCTTCTTTGGCTTCCGCTTCTGCACTGCTTGCTTGATCTTTTTCTTCATTGTTGGCTTCCTGTTCTTCTATGTTGCCTTCTCCTTCTTCATTCACTCATTCTCCTTCAGATGAATCTTCTAATGTCTCTTTGAATTTAACAATTGCCTTTTTTGATTCTTTCTTCCCTTTTTACCAAGACAAAACTCTTCTGATGGGTTTTTAGCTCATTCTTATCTATCTATAACAAGAGGCTCTTTTATTAGAGAAATTGTAACAATCCCGACCCATAGTTAACGTTAATCCATGTTTAGTTATACCTAAAAAAAAAAGAAATTAAAGTGAAATTTCACATCATACATTGCTTATATGTGTTTATATCTGTTTAACGTAGAAAGATCTATTCATGTTTCCATTTCAGATTATGAATTAAAGGCCTTATCGGCATCCGATTCAAGAATTGACTTGATTTATGTGTTAATTAGAATTTTTAGAATTTTACGGTAGGTTTAATTGAAATTGGGTTTGGAACGATTAAATTAAAATAATTTAATGTCTACTTGATTAACTTGATCAATAAATAGTTACATTTTTGCCCAAGCCTATATAAGGCTTCTATATACATCTCAACTCTTTTTTATTCACCATTTTTTTTTGTTTGTTGATGCCAACCGTGAGAGAGAGAAGGGGGAGAGATTGGAGTCAATTTGAGGCCAAACTAGCAACTATTAGAGGAATTGAAGGGAATTTTAGAGATTAAGCAAGAGAGCACTAGCATTTAAGGAATTGAGGACTTTAGGTAAGAAATCAAACTCTTAATTGAGTAATTAAGTTAGATTTTACAAGAATTCAAGTGAGAGAAATGGATTGACAAGAGAATTAAGTTAGAATTGGAGAATTGTAACTCATACCA